TTAATCGGACCACAAATGAGGCTCGATCATTGACAAAGAAGAATTGAAACCATGCCTTTCTCTCACTCTCTCATTCTCTGTCTGCCTGATGTATGTGTATTGTGTGTAAATGTTTGGTCTCCAAATTGGTAATATAAGTTGATTATGAACCCAAGTGGCAATGCCCACTAACCAATTAAATGATGGGCTCTCACTAGGAGGGAAGCCCAACAAATTTTTCATATGAGCCCTTCAGCATAGCATTTTCACCTGAAAGTTCTCCTAAGTGATCAGCCATATTAGATATAGTTTGAGCCATCGAAGCCCTTCTTTTACCACGGTGGTCGGGTTTTTCACCGTCCACTAGTTGTGATTTTCTCCACTATTTTTCGTGCTACCTCCTAGGATTGGAATCACTAACTTCTTTGTTTTTTGCTGAATTGTGCTTCATTTTATTCAATGTTTCAGCAAACACACTCTTCTTCTCAGAATCATTGCTCATTCTTCAGAAATTTGTGGTGCCTTTGATCTGTGGTTTACCTTTATAGATCCAAAAACAGACAGCATCAATCTATTGACGCTAAATATGTTCCAATCTAGCTATAAACGGATCGTTTACACACTTAATTTCACCATTCTCCTTCTACACACAAATACACCGTCAGAGGCAAACAATAATTCCCAAGCAGAAGGTTTTATCATCGTTGGCCCTCCGCCAAAAAATCTCTGAAAGATACACGCACAGGACCTTGTGGAGAATTGGGCAAGATGGATAAGCTAATATGGTTAGGTGCAAAGTGAGTTAGCTATTTATAAGTATTCACAATAGAGGACATGGTCTTTTACTGCTAATGGGACGGACATGTGTCAAGATATTAATAGAGAGTTCTTGCTTTCTCTCACCCGTGCCCTGAGTACGTGTCATCAAATTATGGATCAAGTGGTTTCTATCCAACAAATTTTTCTGCTAGATCTTTTTTTGCACTTTTTAACATACTGATGCTTACATTGTGGTAGCCACATTTTAAGTTAATGAACTTCGATGAAAGCCATTGCCCATATAATTGAGTATAAACAAGCTAGAGATTTCGAGCACTGATTTGAAAGAATCAAAATATAAGGAAAATACCATATTTTCATATGTCATAACCAAACATATTCGAGTAAAATAACCAAGCTCAACAAGATAAGCAATAGCTTGCTCCATCTCCGAACAAGAAATGAAATGATCGCTCTAGCACTTAAAGTTTGATAAGAACGAGTAAACACCCAACTGCGATTTTTGCTTGTGTTATTTTGGGAGCATTGATCTCATACTGCCATAGCACAAGCTAATTGGCTAATCCCATAAATTGTAGTATGGTGTGAGCCACAAATCCTAAACTAACAAATTCCAGCAAACGCTAGACATATCTCATGCTTCTGATTAGCAGGAGCAGATGACAATCTGTTGCATTCAAACACAATATCTATGTCATTGTGAAATAATTTTAGTTGAAAATAATCCTCTAACGATAATTTTGCAATGTCTATGACCACTATGTTTAGTTGCAGTTTATATTCTGAATATTTCGATCTTAATTACACAAGCATATTACACAGTTTCATGCATATTGCTGTCAACTTTGGTTCCAGGCGAACATAAAGAATAATGAGTTATGCTAGATGTATACAATGAGTTACACAATGGATTACACCCCACTCACATGAAGGGGGGGCTCATACACAATAAAATATTCGTGAGCCCCCCTCCATGTGAGGAGGGTGTAATCCATTATGTAAACTACTGGGTGTACACCCAGCATAATTCAAGAATAATAGTATTCATAATCAGGCTATTTTTTTGCTTATATATTTTCACTTTATGGGACGATGGGAGCTTAATCTAACAATCATTGGTAACGAAAACTGAAAAAGAGCCTAGCCATTGATAATGTCGTGCCTTAGAAGAAATTTTTAGAAGATGGAAACAGAATACAAGAATGGACCAAATATACACAGTCAAGTCGACAGAAGAAATATATACTTCAAGAACTCAAATTAAGTACTTCAATACCAAAGTAGCCAATATCTTTCAATCAAATCCATTTTACAACAGAAATCTTCGATGTCAAAAGCTCTGATATTCACATGCTGTAGAACTATCATCTATGCTATCATACAAGTACAGAATGTTTAGAAATACACCGGCATCTTCATGTAATGACCGCGAAAAATAAAATCAAGGATGAAAAGAAGTGTTGATTTGCAATTGCCATTCCATGGAATCTTCAATATCGAAACTACTTGCACAGTCCAATAGCGCATTTTGTTGATGCTCATAACGACATATATAATTTAAACCGACAAGTAGCTGACAGATGGCTGCCTCCGTCTTTTCTAGATCTGCAAAATATAATGTCTGAAGCAAAAGAACATTTGTTCTAGTGACAATTTGCTGCTGTTCAAAATTGCGCTCACTTTGCCACCTGACCATGTTATGTGCTAGTTGGGCAAGCCACTTGAGCATTTCATCAAGCCTCTCCCTCCATTCATGGGCTAGAGGTGCATCATATATTGCCATATCTTTTACATAAGACTTCAAATTAGTCTTCAGAGTCTTTCTTAGGCTTGTTGGTAGCATCTGATATAAATCGTCTCTAGCTTCTTGGCCAACCAGATGTGGGTAACAAAGCAGTTTCTCTATGACAATTATAACATTGGCATAATGCAATGCTAAAGCAGAGCCTCCAACGGTGTTGGGCGGGGCATATGCTAACAATCTACTTTTAAGTCCAAATCTTTCACCATTTATCATACCAAACTTAATCTGCGTCTGATATCCACTGAAAGAATCACCATTTTGTGAACGAGAATAGAAACCCGAGAGATTGGGTTGGTCCCTTGTCATCCCACTTGCATCACTGTAGCAGCCCGAAATCTGTCTACTTCGATCATCATAACTAACATCATCATCATCATCATCATCATTCACTTTCGAAGCAGAGCTACTCAAACTTAAACATTCCATGAACAGCCTCCCTGGCCCTATACCGCATGCAAAGTTGAAGTCTTCGGGACCAAACAAGCCTCCTTCACTTTTCTGCATCCCATCTTGAGGCCTATAATATATGGTCCTCTTGTCCAACCTACCTTTCTCAATGGGCCCTGAATGGTTTTTACCATTACTCTTGGTAGAAACTGACTTTGTAAAACTAGCACCCATTTGAACCTTACTCTCTACATCCAATTGACCCAAATTCTTCCCAAATTCGTTCTTCACACTCTGCGAACTTCCGCTGAAACCAACCTGTGACCTGGAAGCTGAACCACTCGAGGTATACCCCCTCAGAAGGGCATCCCCAAACACCATATATATCCGTGCATGAATCGTAGACACAGTCCTTGCCAACAGCTCGACAACCTTGTCATATGACTGGTTCCAAAGCGAGATATCCTTCAAATAACTCACGTCTTGCTTATGCCACATCAACTTCTGCTCAAAAGCCTTCCTACTCTCCTCCAGCTGGTTCTGCTGAAACTTCTTGGTGGCCATTTCCAGCTCGTTCATGACCTCCATTTCACTGAACAAACTTGCCGTGGATTTCACATACCCTTCCATTTTGCTCACCATGCTGTCCATGTTCTTCACCAGAATCCCCAACTCCTTAACGTCAATCGCCCCAGAAACAATGTCACCATACACGTGCTCAAACCCCTGAAGTGCTGGAACTGTACATTTCTTCCCTAACCTAGATACCACACTAGAAACCCTGTTCAATTCATCAATTTTCTCCACAAGAACCAGCTCTATAAGCTGTGTATCATCATTAGACACAAGGATTCTTATTCCTTCGGACTTTAAGATCTCGTTCTTTAACTTAACTATTTCATGGTCACTCAAAGATTTATGCAGGTGAATAATCTTGGACATCACATTAGCAACTTCAAAAGAAAGTATCCCTATAATGTGTTTCTCTTGCTGCCCTTGTTTCTTATTCAATAATTTCTTCGATTTTTCGAGATGTAAACCATGCTTTAAATTGCTACTCACCTGATTTCCCAGTTTCAATATCCAAGGCTCCGAAACCATTTCTGCCTTCTTTCTCTAATCCCCACAAAAAAATTGCTGCAAAAAGGCAAAACCCAAAACAAGTACTATTGTATTTTCTCCATTAGCATATCCTTCAGCAAAATAGCGCTGAATGTTCATCTATTTCGTGTTGAAAAAAAAAAGTGAAACAACAGAAGCAGAACAATGAAATGCGCATGGATTGAGAAAAAACAAGTCGAATTAAAGTTCAGTTTTAAGAAGCGTGGGAAAGCGGGCGTGAAGTTGTAATTGATGGATGAACAGAGGAGTGGAACAAAGAGAATGGAGGGAAATCGATTGATATGAAGGGAGACATTTCACTTTTTCAATGTGTGTTTGTTAGAGAGAAAATTGTTATGAATTTTGAAGAAGGTAATGGCAGCCAGTATCTGGGAATAATCAATAAAGACTGATTTTATTTTTTATTTTAGGGTAAATATATTGTCAGTACAAATTTTTATTGTCACCACATTTTAAATAATTTTTTTATTTACCTAACTAACTATAAATAAAAGGACATAATTAACCCCTATAATTTTTTCTTCTATTATTGT